AGGCTGAGGCAGGAGACTTGCTTGAGCCCAGGAGTTGGAGGTTGCTATGAGCTGTGATGCCATGGCACTCTACCCAGGGAAACAGCTTGAGGCTCTGTCTCAAAAATAAATAAATAAATAATTTTTTTTAAAAAAGAAAGAAATACCCAAATTGTGGCAAGAATTTTCTCTAATCCAAAATCTTATTGGCTTCACAGTCTTAGAACTTTCTCATTTCAACAGCCACATCAAAGTTTTTATTTATTTTGTGTTTATTTTTTTTTCTTGACCATACATAGATGATCTAAAATGTAGTTCTACCTCAATTCATCCCACTGGTACATCTGATACTCTTCATCCATAATCAAATCTTTTTTACTTAAGAACATGGTGCAACGGAATGGTGCTTGTGGCTCAGTGGGTAGGGTGCCAGCCTCATATACCAAGGGCAGTGGGTTCGAACTTGGCCCTGGCCAGCTAAAACAACAGTAGCAACTGCAACAAAAATAGCCAGGCATTGTGGCGGGTACCTGTAGTCCCAGCTACTTGAGAGGCTGAGGCAAGAGAATTGCCTAAACCCAAAAGTTGGAGGCTACTGTGAGCTGTGATGCCACAGCACTCTATAAATAAAGAACATGGTACACTGGAGCCAGATTCCTTGTGTTCTGAAAACAATTTTAACACCTTATATCTGGATACCTTGCCAAATTTCTTAGCTTTTCTGTGACTCACCCTGCTCACTTTTAAATCAGGCCTTTTATCTACACTGTAACAGTTGCTGGGAAGATTGAGATGATCTACATAAAGTGGTGGGGCATTATTGGCACACAGTAAGCACCCAACCACAGGGTTGACTACTTACCTTATTTTAAAAAATGAGAAGCTGGGCACAGTGGCTTGCACCTATAATCCTAGCACTGTGGACACAGGCAGTAACACAAGGCAGGTGGATTGCTTGAGCTCAGGAGTTTGAGACCAGCCTGAGCAAGAGCAAGACCCTGTCTCTACTAAAAACAGAAAAAGCTAGCCAGGTATTGTGGCAGGTGCCTGTAATCCCAGCTCTTGGGAGGCTGAGGCAAGAAGATTGCTCAAGTCCAAAAGTTTGAGGTTGCTGTGAGCTATGACACCGTAGCACTCTACCTAAGGTGACAGAGTGACACTGTCTCAAAAAAGAAAAAAAATGAATTCCAGACTAGTTCTGGAGATCTGCTGTACAACATAGTACCTTAGTTCACAAGACAGTGTAGAGCACTTCAAGATATTTCGAGAGGACAGAGCTCATGTCAGGTGTTCTTACCACAAACAACAACAAAACACACAGTAACACAAGGAAATTGTTGGGGGTGATAGATACAACTAAAACCTTGATTCTGGTGATGGTGTGAGAAGCATAAATGTGTATCTGCCCATTTATGAAAATGTATCATTAAACACGTGCAATTTTTCTATATTAATTACATATCAATAAAGTTTTTTTTAATGATTTTATAAGGTCTCATGCATTCTTTTGCTTTGGATGCAGGCATCATTAACATTCATTTTAATATTTATTTGTGCATTTTTATACAAAACAGCCTTTCTAAATCCTTTAAAAAATATTTTAGCAGTACTCAGACTGATGTTTGATCATTTTCTCTCATACTTCAATTGTTTTCCACTCAAATTTTAAAACTCAATAGTTCGTCTGGTCTGTTTAAATTTTTCTTAGAAATAAACTCGCCAACATTTTTTCAGTCAACTATCTAGCCTGCATATATTTACTAATAAATAAGAACCAATTTCTTTTCCTTATATCACCCCCAAAACATACATAATAAATACAGATGTACAATTCACAAGTCATTTCCTCCAAAAACTTTATTCAAATAGAAATTAGAACAATAGCTTTAAAGTAGAATCTGAGAAACATTAAATCACTCTGGTTTTATTTATCAGCCTCCCAATGCTATTAGAAAATAAGACACAAATAAAAATTAATTAATTAATTAATTAAAAATAATGCTGTTTTGTGTATCCTGTCATCCCCATCAAATAATATCAAGAAATGATGTAACCTCATCAATTTTAATGGTCTCATCTGTGAAGTTAAGGACAGAGTATATAAATACTATAGTTGACTTAGAAAAAGTAGAAAGTACACGAGACATTAAAATAGCCTGTCGTCTGTGAGGCTCAAGTTCCTGGTCACTGTTGCTGGCAAGTCCGCTCACAGACCGGCTTCCTTCAGTCAGCGCCAGATCCTACAGGTGTTATCCTTGCTGCCTAATAAAATAAATTTCACAGAGTTAATTTTTTATTTCATTTGATTCACCTCACTCTCTCTTTTTACAAGTTGACATGTCCCGGGTCACTGGTAATTAGCAAGGTGCTAAATGCACTCGATTCGCAGAGACTAACTACAGACCCCTAAAGCAACTCATGTATTTTTCAAGCAGTTTTTTTCGTGATATCAGCTGATTGTAAATGGAGCAGGTTCACATTCTGCTCACACCAGCAACATTCAAGGGATCTTACACTTGAGGAGGACCTGAGAATGCAGTTACTTCAAGCCACCCCCACTGCCCCCACCTCAAACATCACTACCCGGTGGAAATACAGTGACTCTGAAGATCCCCACGTCTGGGTGATATGCATAAGAGGAGGCAGGACATCCCACTTGGGAACATTTCAAAATGTCAGGAGGTTTTTCTCATCTCAGTAGGAGCTGCTGGGGCCTTTACCTTCAGGACCAGACACATAATATAAACAGAAAAAGGGTGAGAGATATAGGAATCAGGAAAGCCTGTAAAAACTGTGCATCCCAGAAAAAGACACTCCATATTTTTAAAAAAGCAAAGACTATGCCAGCCACTTTTATGCCAGTTTGTAATTCTAAACCCAATCTCATGCAGCCCACTGAAATAGCCGGCAGTTAATGACAATGGGTTTCACGCAGAATATAAGGCAGATCATTTTAAAGATGATAGCTCTATTGATGGCCAGACACAAGTGTTGCCCTGTTCTAATAAGCTTTGTCATCCAGTGAGCTAGTATTTAGCACTTTGGTGCTTTGGAATACACTAAATAAATCATTAACAACTTAAAAGAACTGAGGGTTTTAAGCGGCAGCACTAAAGCAAGGCAGAGATAACTAACACTCCTCCCCCCAGACTCTCTAGGGGCTTCTGTGAAAACTGGTGGAGGGAAGAGGCTCCATCAGGCCAGCCCAGCCTTCCCTCCTCCCCACGTGGCAGCTGCTCCCTGCAGGGGCATCCTGCATCCTCTATCACAGGCCCTGCTGCTTTCCTCATTATGGGGAAGGAATTGAGTACGTCCACAAGAAAATAATGTAGCTTATTATGGCCATGCTTTACAAGTACCTATCTCTTAGTGAATACTTGAAAGTCATAAGCCAAGAGGAAGCAATCTGTGGTTTCAGAACTCACCAATAATTAAGTAGAAATTTCAGGCCATAAGGATAAATAATTCTCAGCATCCCTGAAGTTATATGTAAATCATTGTCAAAGTTTTGAGGTATACAAATGACAAGAAACATAAAATCTCTACAGACAGAAACACATGAAGCCCTGCCAGCTACACTGATAAGCTGAGCAGGCTGAAACTTGCACAGGTCGATCAGGAAGGGTGCTGTCAGCTGTGTGTCTTAGAAGTGAAATAATAGATTATAACACAGTCTGTCTCAAAACTTTCGTAGTGACACATGTATGAGTAGAAAGCCACTTCATCAGCCAATATGCAAAGCCAACCTTGAGTACGTGACATTTACCTTATTAGACCAGTTTGCTGACTTTAACTTTATCAACACAAGGAGGACTAGGCAGACCTGGTCTTCTGTGCTGGCTTAGGGCATCCCTGTGCCACACCACTGTAGCACCTGCTCCCTGTCAAGACCTCTCCCAGAGGCACCATGCTAATATTATACCACTATTGTGTCACTCTTGACACCTTTCCATAATCTCAATTAACCTGTTCTCAGTCCAGTTTTTATAAAATACTGAGATTAATTCTCTATAAATTGTTAAGGTTTGATAAATGCTCAATCCAAGTTCTTTTCCCAAAATATCAGTGCTTTAGCATGGGACATCCAAAGAGAAAACAACTTGGGTCAAAGAATAAATCTCTAGTAGGCTCAAAAGCCAACTGTGGAGAACTCTGGTCCTGATTTGTTTCTGTTACTAACGCTTACTGGCATCAATCAAATATTAACCTCCACTTGATGGAGGACACCTGGGGAAAGGGAGCAACCTGCAAGACAGGCTATTAAATTGTCACCTTACCTATAGCAACTATGCCTCAGACTCACAAAGCCTTATTGTCAAGAGCAGAACTCATTACTGTGGGTTCTGATGCACCTAAAATTCATTAGTGGAAACAGAACAGCCAACCAAGACGAGCCAGCGGCCAAGGAGAAAGGGTTGGAGTGGACCCCTTCTGGAATTCAGCTTGGAGAACCCTATAGCAATTATGGCTCGTATTTCTCTCTTACCTGTGATGACTATGTTGCCTTCATAGTTGAAAGCACAAGAAAAGATTTCATCCGTGTGCCCCTCAAGAACCTGGAGGCACTGGCCAGTCTGAGCATCCCAGATTCGAGCCGTTTTGTCGGAGCTGCCAGTTAGAAGACGGTGCCCTTGGGGGTTGAAAGAAATCTACAAAAGAGGAAGGAAAAAAATTGATCACAGGTTTATACAATAGGTCCAATATATTTTTTATCAGTAAAAAAAGGGACATTACTAACGCCTGTCCCCTTCCAAGCCTGGTATTTATTATTACACAGAACAATTTCTTCACGATGGGAAAAATATTACAGGGTCTAATACGTGAACGTTAAAGCCCAAAGAGAAACATTTAAGTGTCCGCTCCTCACAATTCTAAGAATAAAGATCAAAGCACCATTATAAGTGTTTCCCACCCAGCTTCTTTCCAAAGACTTTAATGCCCTTCTCTGCACAAAGAGTCAGGTTTCTATATATCCAAACCCCAATGTTATCTTTACAGTCAAAATCATGCAAATCCCCCTTTAATCTGTGCCATAGAAAAAGTGAATGTCGGGTTCAGCAAGAAAGAGCACTGTCATCTACCAGCACCCAAAGTATAGATAGCACTTTCTATGAACATGCTTGAGTGCCACCCATGTGCTAGGAGTTACCAATCAGAGGAAACCATTAGTCCTCCCTTTCCCTGGATGTCACACAGTCACATCCCTCTCTAGTTATCAGAAGACAATGAATTGGGCCACCCCCTCCAGGACTGAAGGTCTGAGGAGGAAAGGGTCCTGCCTGTGTTGTATCCCTGTGTCACCAGCACCTGAGCAATGCTAGCACAGTGCATGATCTCTGAAGTGTTTGCTGAATGCATAAATGAATTAATACTTTAGCTTTACACCCCAAAGAAATGCCATCACTAGATGACAATTCAATAAATAACATATTCACTTAGCAAGCATAAAAACAGATGTGTATTTGTTGGGGAGACTTGCTACAGCTGTCTACAACCGCCACACTCAGAAACATAGTCAGGGCTCTCTCCTCAGCTTGCCTCCCTCATCCCCTTTCCCATCCCCTCTTGCCACCCCTACACCTCCTAGCATGGGGTGGACTGCCATGGAGCCCAGCCCTGACTGGACAGAGGACCACAACCACCACCAGCAGCCACAGAGGCAGGCAGGGCAAGAGTACCATGTGGGGCACTACCAGGGTTTAGATAGAGCTTCAGAAACCTGAAACCATCAAGCTGATATTTTACAAGGAAGGAGCAAATCTGATATCAGATATAAGGCCAAGGAATTGGGCTCAGCTGGGAGGTGAAAAACACCAAGTCCCAAACTACTCTATAATTTTCTGATAACAGGGCCAGGCCAGTGGTTCACACCTGTAATCCCAGCACTCTGGGAGGCTGGGGCAGGTGGATTGCCTGAGCTCATAGGTTCGAGACCATCTGAGCATGACCTCATCTCTAAAAATAGCTGGACGTTGTGGCAGGGGCCTGTAGTCCCACCTACTTGGGAGGCTAAGGCAAGAGAATTGCTTGAGCCCAAGAGTTTGAGGTTGCTGTGAGCTGTAACACCATGGCACTCTACTGAGGGTGACACAGTGAGACTCTGTCTCAAAAAAAATAAATAAATAAATTCTGGCAACACATCCAAATTGGAGGTCGCTGACTCGGTGGCCTTGCTGTAACAAATCTTTTCGTGGGACTTAATGCGAAGTCCTAAGATACACCTTCAGAGCTTCAAAAATGATATTTTTGTATGTACTTTAATTGTTAAATATTTCTAAGAAATACTCCCTTGATCTCATCTAATTTGCAGAGCACTTGATACTTGCTACATAGCATGCTTTTTGCAAAATATAAACTTGTGTGTTTACCAGAACTAGGAAACACACTTCATAAACTCCCCAAGTTGCTCTATTAAGTATTTTCAACTAAATCTTTTAATGATGGTTGAGCACAATGCTTTATACTTTTTAAAGGGTTTTTAAAGATTTTAGAAATCATTTGTCATGCTGAATTTGAGTAAACACTTTAAAATAAAGTCTATGACTGATTTCTAGAAAGAATGAGGTAAACAAACCTTAGTACATCAATTCCAATAGAGACCTATTTATGCTGTGCATGTTGTTTATTTTTTAAAAGTAAATAAACTGCTCCAAATGTGAAAGGAACTCACCTTTGAAATTTCACCTTCATGACCTTCCAATTTGGCAATGCATTTTCTGGTGGCTGCACTGAAAACTCTTGCTGTTCCTTTTTGAAAAGGGTGGGGATATACATAAATTCATCTTAAATATAGAACTTTGGACCAGTGACCTTGATTATCTAAATATCTATTCCTCTGACACACAAGCTCTTCTTGCCTGTGGCAAGAGCCGGATAGTTAATATTGAAATGCAAGCCGGCCCCGCTGCAGAAGGGGGTGAACGGGAGCTCCTCGTTAGCCATGAGCTTATTAGAAGTGATAATGAATCCCAAGATTGAAAAGAGATGAGAAAAAAGGAATTCAGAAGTAAAAAACATTTTAAAGAAGAAAAAAAAAGGGGGGGGATGCAAAGAAAATTTGAAGAAGCAAGTGATGAATAAGCAGCAAGACCAGAATTCTACACCAGGTGTATAAGTGTGAGTTTATGAGAGGTGAACAGGCCTTCTTGAGAAAGAGCATCAGCCACTACTCAGTGTGAAGGAAAGAGGCTCTAAGAATGGTTTTCCACTGTAAGAGCTAAGTGCCAGAAGTGCCAGGCACATATTGACAATAAATAGATGTAGGATGGATGGATGGATGGATGGATGGATGGATGGATGGATGGATAGATGGATAGTTGAGTGGATGGATGGATGGATGGATGAGTGGATGGATGGATGGATGGATAGATGGATGGTTGAGTGGATGGATGAATGGATCAGTGGATGGATGGATGGATGAATGGATGAGTGGATGGATGAATGGATGAGTGGATGGATGGATGGATGAATGGATGAGTGGATGGATGAATGGATGAGTGGATGGACGGATGGATGTACGAGTGGATGGATGTAAGAAGTTCTATGTGAATTTCCTTATAGATGGGGGGGTAAATAAGCATAAAAATTTCAGTAGTATAATAAAATTTTGTCAGAAGAAAAGTTACAATCTATCTGGCCAGATGAAGGATGATTTCTTACCTCAAATCACAGCATGAGATAGATGTAAAATACAGCAAGGATAGAAAAATTTAGGTACTTTATTTGCATTTAGAGAAAAAATATTTTAATAATTTTTTACTTACCTTTCTAACAATGTCAACTTCAGGAGAAAGTATATAAGATGATATGTTAGAATTAATGGAATTATAAAAATATAACTTGCTATTTTCTTACACATCTTAAAAGCCTTAGAAAAGTGACCAACTTGTTTTGAGAGTTTGTTAATAACATGAATGGGCATGTCCTGGATAGGCCAGTACTCTAAATTTTAAAAATCCTTAATTTTAAACTTCAGAAAACAAAGAAAAAAATACATAGCATGCAACTCTGTAATTGTTTTTTAAAAAATATGAATGGATATAAAGACAGCAAAAGAAAAAGACCAGGCTTGATAACAATTCCAATGAGGAAAGAAAAGAAGATATATAAAGAAACAGATGTGTGCATAGGTAATCAACTGTTGAATGAGATCCAAGTTTCAAGGTGGGAATTAGGTGCAAAGCCCAGAGAAAAATAAAAAGTATTGGTCTAAATATCAAGATGTCTTAGGAAAGCACAGAACAGGTTTAGAAGACACACCAAAAGAAAACAGTGATTGTTTTACATTAAAGTTTTCTTGAGCAAGGAAAAAAATAGAATCACTGCTAGGGTAATATCAGATGAGGAAACAAAACGGGAGTTGAACTTGTGTTTTATCCTCACCCTGACTCTCTGACTATCCTGCTTTCTTATCCCACACTGCTAAGCTTTCACATTCTCTCCCACCAAATGCTCTATATAATGTAACATTCTACATGAAATCCATATATGGCATTATTTGTTGTCTGTTTCCCCTTCCTGACTCCACAAGGTCAGGGATTTCTATCTCTTTTGTTTACTTGTGTGTCCCATATTCCCAAACAATTCCTGCTGCAAGGTAGGTACTTCAGTACATACTGCTGAATAAATTCTCTCTACCAATTCAAATTATATTTGAAACAAAAAGGGTGGACTAATTACAGTTGGCGGATAAGTTTTTAAAGCCAAGATCGGGCTGCGTGTGGTGGTTCATGCCTGCAATCCTAGCACTTTAGAAAGCTGATATGGGAGAAGAGCTTGAGGTCAGGAGTTTGAGACCAGCCCAGGCAACTTAGACCACATTCTAAAAAGTATGACAAATTAACTGGGCATGGTGGCATGCACCTGTAGTCCCAGCTCTTCTGGAGGCTGAGGCAGGAAGATCACTTGAGCACAGGAATGGGAGGCTACAGTGAGCTGTGATGATGCCACTGAACTCTAGCCCAGACAACAGAGCAAGAGCCTGTCTCAAAAAATAAAATAAAATAAAGCTAAGATCTGTGGGTGGAAAGCCAAAGTGTGTGAGAATATGAAAAAGTAAATAGTTACTTAAAAAATCAAATTATCTGGACTCGGGATGCTTGCCTTCCAGGACGATTTTTGTGCCTCACTTAGAGAAGTCCTACCAAGTTAAATAATAAGCATGCAGATGTAATTTTGAAAAGGGAGACAATGGGGTGGCACCTGTGGCTCAAAGAGTAGGGCACCGGTCCCATATACCAGGGGTGGTAGGTTCAAGCCCAGCCCTGGCCAAAACTGCAAAAACAAAAAAGGGAGACAATGATGAAATAAAGCATAATTAACATAACCAGCAAAATTCTGTATCTGATTAAAACATAAAGTATATGTGACTACTTAAAAGTATTTTAATCACAAGAATGTTTGGGGGGGGTTTTTTTGGTTGTTTTTTTTGTAGAGACAGAGTTTCACTTTATTGCCCTCAGTAGAGTGCTGTGGCATCACACAGCTCACAGCAACCTCCAACTTCTAGGCTTAGGCGATTCTCTTGCCTCAGCCTCCCAAGTAGCTGGGACCATAGGCACTCACCACAACACCCAGCTATTTTTTGTTGTAGTTTGGCCAGGGCGGGGTTTGAACCCGCCACCCTCCATATATGGGGCTGGCGCCCCACCCACTGAGCCACAGGCACCACCCCTCTGTCAGAATTTTTTAATGAAAAGATTCTTTGTAAATAGATTTTAATTTTTTAATCTTTAATTGATAAATATTATATATATTCAGGATGTACAACATGATTATTTCATATACATACACATTATATAATGATTGTCACAATCTAATTAGCACACTCCTTACCACTCATGCTATCTATGCAACTTAGATCTCCAGAACTTGTTCTTCTTATATCTTAATGTTTATGCCCTTTGACCAGCATCTTCTCACTTCCCCACCTCCTGACCCGTGGTAACCATTCTTCTACTTTCTATTTCTATGAGTTCTGCTTTTTTAGATACTACATATAGGTACACCATGCAATATTTGTCCTTCAGTGTATAACTTACTTTCCTTATCATGTCCTTCAGATTCATCTATGTTGTTGCAAAGATAGCATTTCCTTCTTTTATATGGATTAAAATATTCCTTTATAATATTCTTTATATATAAATATGTATGATTGATATATATGTATGTACATACACACACACACCCATATTTTCTTTATCCATTTATCTGTCAAAGGGCACTTAGGTTGTTTCTTATCTTGTCTATATTACAAAGCTGTACTAATCAAAACAGTACTGGCATAAAAACATACATATGAGTAATGGAACAGAATAAAAAGCCCAGAAATATACTCATGCATATATCATCAACTAATCTTTGACAAGAGCACTAAAATACACAGAGAAGAAGGAAAAGTCTTTCTTCAGTGAATGATTCTGGAAAACACTGAATGTCACATGTAAAAGAATGAAATTGGACCCCTGTTTTATACTATATTTAAAAATTAACTCAAAATGAATTAAAGATTTAAATAAAAGATCTGAAACCACAAAACTCCTAACAGAAAATATTGTGAAAAGTTCCTTGGCATTGGTCTTGGCAATGATTTTTTGGCCATGACACCAAAACCACAGGTAGCAAACGTAAACAAGACAAAATAAAACTAAAAAATTGGCCAGGTGCAGTGGCTCATGCCTGTAATCCTAACACTCTGAGAGGGTGAGGCAGGTGGGGCTCCTGAGCTCAAGAGTTTAAAAACAGTTTAAGCAAAATGAGACCCCATATAGAAAAACTAGCCAGGCATTGTGGTGGCAACTGCAGTCCCAGCTATTCAGGAGGTTAAGGCCAGAGGATCACTTGAGCCCAAGAGTTTGAGGTTGCTGTGAGCTTTGATGCCACAGCACTCAACCCATAGTGACTGAGTGAGAATCTATCCCAAAAGAAAAATACCAAAAAGTTTCTTCATAGCAAAAGGAAAATTAACAAAATATAAAGGTGATCTGTCAAATGGGAGAATATATTTGGAAATAATATGTAATAAGGTGCTAACATTCGAAATATATATCACACAACTCAATAGCAAAAAAATGTATTTAAACCCCTCCAAAAAAATTTAAAATGAGCAAAGGACTGAATGGACATTTTTCCAAAGAAGATGTTCCCATCAACAGACAAACAAAAAGGTGCTCAACATTACTAGTCAACAGAGAAATAAAATGTTGTCATATGTGGTCATCACAGAGGATGTGGACATTGGGTAGTGTCATGCGTGGTCATGAGGGAGATGATACACACCTAACTCAGCACCATGTTGGCCATCACAGAGATGACACAAGCATAGTGTAGTGTCATATGTGATCTTCAGGGAGATGACCTAGGTATAGTGTAGTGTCAGACACTGTTGACAAGGAGATGATACAAACACAGTTAAGGTTCAAGGGATGAGATATACACAGTGCAGCACCAAACATGACCATCAGTGGTGCAGATGTACCTGTGGACTGAACTCCACCACTGGCTTTCCTGGCTCCCTAACTTGCAGGTGACATATGGTGAACTTCTCAGCTTTCATAATCACATGACCCAATCCCATTGTGAATCCATTTTTGTATGTCCATAATATGTTCTGATGGTTCTGTTCTGTTCTGGAGAATCCTGACTAAAACAAGCATCATAGCTGGTTGTCATGGAGATGATGTAATCATAGCATAGCATCGCAAATAGAGGTCAATGAGCCAACATACTTTAGCAACTCACAGGGTTATCAAGTGGTCAACGTGAATGGTGTAACATCATATGTGATTTCAATGGAAGTGATCCATATATGTATAGCATCGTATATAGTTCTCAGTGATATACATAGTACAGTGTCAGAAGCAGATTTCAAAGAGATTATCCAGACATAATACAGAATCATACACTTTTTTAAAGGAGGTGATACAGACATACTAAGCCCTGTAGATAAGTTTATTAGGGAGATGAGGTGGAAATATTATAGCATCATACATGGATTTATAAGAAATGACTCAGACATGGGATAAAATCATACCTGGTTACATAGAATTACTGTGTTTCCCCGAAAATAAGATCTACCCAAAAAATAAGCCCTAGCAGGATTTCTATGCATTTGTTAAATATAAGCCCTACCCTGATAATAAGACCTAGTGATGGACATGGCTATGCAGACACCCCTACCCCAATAATAAGGCCTAGTGATGGGTGTGATCAGGCATTTTGGCGTGGAGAGGAAGACATCCCCTGAAAATAAGCCCTAGTATGTCTTCTTGAGAAAAAAATAAATATAAGACAGTGTCTTATTTTGGGGCAAACACGGTAAATAAAGTATAGTGTAGCATCCTACATGATTATAAAAGGGATGACAATGTAAACTAAGATACAGCAGTCAGATATACGACAGATACATGACGTAGACACAACAGAGTTTCATACATGGTCACTGAAGGAATGACACAGACTCGGTGCAGTAAGGGGTATCCAAACTTTTTTTCTGTGCTACACACTGGAAAGATAAGAGTTGTCTTGGGCCACATGTTAAATACATAAACACTAACAACAAAAGCTGATTAAGAAAAATAGTAAAAAGTTCATGAATTTTTTTTGTGATATCCAACACCAAAGATAAGCAGAAAAGGTCATCACAAAATCGGCATGCAGCCCAGCAGGTTGGACATCCCTGGCACCGTAGTTTCATACATGAGCATTAGGTAAATAATACAGATGTAATGTAAGATCATTTGTAGTCTTCAGGAAGGTGATATATGGGGCTGAATCATACTTTGTAATCAAAGTGATAACTCATAGAACAGCATCGCACATGGCATGTGATGTCATGCGATGACTTAGGCTTCCTATAGCTTCGTATGTGCTTGCCCAGGATGGTGCAAGCAGAGCACAGTATCACAGAGTTATAAAGACATGGTGTGGAGAGAGCGTAGTGTTAAGTAGGGAGTGGTCAGGGAGATAATGTACAAGTCGTACAGTGTTACACAAGCTTGTCGGGACTATGCTGCAAAGAGTAGCGTCATAAACACTTGTCAGGGAAATAGCACAGACATAATGAATCATCATATGTGGTTGTCAAGGAGATAATGTAGTATGACATCATACATGGTTGTCATGGAGATGAGGTGTTGTTTAGTATCACAAAATGTTATCTAGGATACGATGTGTACATAGTACAGCAATATAGATGGTTGTCAGTGAGATGATACAGACGTCATAGAGCACTGCATGTGACTTTCAATGATGTAGACACAGTGTAGCATCATATGTATTTGTCACCCAAGTGACTCACAGTTTTGCATCATACGTGGTTATCAAGGATATGATGCTGACATCATACACGTCAGAAGTGGCAACCAAGTATAGCATCACATCACACGTGGCTTTTAAGACAATGCAAGTACAGTGTTTTATAACATGTGGTAACCAACAATATGATGCAGACAGTGTCATACCTGTAATCGGGGAAATGCCACACACATCATGTAGTTTCTTATTTGGTGATCAGAATATGGCATAGACATAGAATAGTATTTTGTGACATCAAAGAGAAGGCAGACATTGTAGGGTCAAAAGTAGTTATCGAGTATGTGAGGCAGATACTTCTTAGCATCAAATGTGGTTTTAAAGAAATGAAAGAAAACAATATAGCATAAACCATAACTTTCAAGGAGATGATGTTACAGTGTAGAATAACACACAGTCCTTGAGGGAATAAGACAGACACAGTATAACATCGTACATGATAACAGGGAGATAACAGGCATGGTGTAGTGTCCCATGTGAAGTTCATGGAATTGAGGCACAACTAGTTTGGCATCATATGTGGCTGTCAGTAAGATGACGCAGACATGGTACAGAAGCATAATTGGTAATTGAAAAATGGTGTATAGCATAGCATCACGTACGTTCACCACAGAGACTGGGCAGACATGATGGGGCAGGATCTGTAGTTATACAGCACCTTTAATGGCAGTCCAGTTGACAGGCCAACATAGGATAGCATCATACATGACAGCTGACTTTTGAGCCAATGAGCATGACCTGACTAATAACATGGACTTTCTTCTGCCTCTGCCTCTGCCTCTGCCCTGCCTTAGACACAGGACCAACTCTTTGTCCTCTTTGTCCTCCTCTTTCTCCTCCTCCTCAGTCTACTGAACATGGCGATAGCAGGATGAAGGCCTTTATGATGATCCATTTCTGCTTAATGAACAATTATATTTTTTCTTTCTTATGATTCTCTTAAAAACATCTTCTTTCTCTAGCTTACTTTATTGCAAGAATACAGCATATGATACATATGGCATACAAAATATGTGTTAATCAGTTATCTGTGTCATCAGCAAGGCTTCCTAGTCAACAGTAGGCTCTTAGTCAATAGGTTTTGGGGGAGTCAATAGTTATATGCAGACTTGCGACTGCACAGGAGTTACTTTTCCTAACCCCTGCCCTATTTGACAGTCAACTAGAGATTAAGGAGATGACCAAGAACCCACATGTATTTATTTATAGATGTTATCAGGGAGGCATCACGGACTTTGTGTAGCATCACACACAGTTATCAGAATATGATATGGACATTCTGTAGAGACATTTATGGTCACCATGGAGATGAGGCAGTTTCCATCCCAGCTGGTCGTCAGGGAGATGAAACCTAGTGAAGCACCATGCACATTTATCAAGCAAAGCATAACTCCCTCTATAAATGAAACGTATGAACAGATTACCTACCATCTGCTGAAGCTGTTGCAATAAGCTTTCCAGTGTAATCAAAGCAGCTATCTAGTATTTCATCATCATGGCCTGTTAAAGTTGCCACACATTTTCCATTTGTAGCATCCCATAGCTGCAATTTTAAAACAAACAAACAAACAAACAAGAGCCAAAAAAATCTATGATTTTCTATCTAAAGTATGAAGATGGCCAGTCCAGTGGTCTTCATGACATGCTTAGGGATAGTTAAATAGCCATGCTGTATCCATCACGTGTGTAATTTTCAAATGTTCAGTTTTAACTTGATTCATTACCAGAGACCACAGTCAACCCCCTAGCAAGGCACACTTTGGTCACAGAGAAGGCCAACATCAGAAATTTAGAATCTGCCACTATATTAAGGAAAGATAAGAATCTCAAAGCGTATTGCTTTACTGGTGGGAATAGATGTGGCCTCTTTTTATAGGAAGGACATCTAGTAATAGAAAGCTTGATCTAACACCACAATGCCAGAAAATTTAAAGTACATGATAAGATTATAATAAATCTGGTACATAATCAAATGATAATTCCAGAGTCTATGCACTTAGCAAACATTGTTTAAAGTGCAAAAACTTAGGAGCAGGGTGATACTATATATGAGGCTCTTTGAGGGTCACGCTAATCAGAGTTTCATAAACGCATGGTAGAACATTAAACAAAAATCATCTGTCCTTTGAAATAAGATCTTTAATACATTTGAAACAAATAACATTTTTTACTACGTCATAATTTCCTCTAACTTAGAAAATCTACAACTTGAAATAGAAATATTACCAATGATTACTTATAAATTCATGCCTTAATCACCTTTGAAATGTGTTAATGTTGCGGCAGATCCCTAACACAGTCAAGAGTACAGACACAACACAAGCAAAGGCGGTTCTCCAGCTCACCATGCAGGTCTTGTCCATAGAGCCAGTTAATATGAGAGAGCAATCCCAGTTGAACACGGCACTGCTAATCTCACCACAGTGACCAATTAAAGTATATGCCTTCCTGCGAAATGGAAATCATGAAAACGGGTGAAAGACATCTGACTTTAGTACATGCACCCAAATAACAGGGCAAAGCACATCTGTGCAAACTCATCTAAGTTATATTATTTACCAAATAATATATTTGATGGCAAAACAAAATGGGTCTATGATAGCTCAAAAGGAAGCTACTAATAATTGCATTCCAACGAAAATGTACTGAAATGTTACACAGTTAAGATAACAATACTTGAGGTAACACTTCAAAAAGGGATGGGTAACTAGTAGTAAAGGTGTCTAAAATTAGAGCTGAGTGGGCATTTGGCTCGTCAGAAACTACGTGCCACAGGACAGAAAGGTCCTCCCTTCTCCCCCATTCCCTGTTGCACACCTCCTGGGCAGGCGCCCTGATCATAAGCCCCTCCATCAGAACACAAACAAGTCTAAGAGTGGAGCTTTCCAACACAGATATGCTAATTTGATTAACTTCTTAACAACTAGGACCAAAAATCATCTGGAAGGAAATTGAAATTCTTGGACTAAATTAAATTTTGGAAATTAACTACGGGTTTCATTTATTCATGATATTCATGCCTACCATAATGACAAGCCACTGAAATTTGATTATAGAGTGCATAGAATAAATAACGGCTACGTATCCAGCCTCCTGCTAACACAGCATTCTCCTTTATATTGTTGTTTGGCATTATTCGCCCAGAATTCTCAGAGGGTGTGTCTTTTGTGGATCATAAATATCCTTAAAGAATACACTGTGGTCTTAACATGTCCCACTCCTATGGAGTCCAAAGCACAGTTAATAGATATAAGAATAAACTAATAAATATTGGAATGTCTCAATCCTTGATCCATGTTAAAAAAAATTCTTAAGAATTAAGAATGACCTTCCAGTATCAGCATCCCACACTGCAACTGTGTGATCAAAAGACCCCGTGATGATTCTGTCTCCTGAAGTGTTAAATGACAAGGAGATGATTTCAGCAGAATGTCCCTAGAAAAAGAGCAGATGTCACACACACCTGTAGACGGAAGAACGACTGTGAGCACACCATATCAAGGTCTAACAGGAAGTGTGGAGAAGGGCAGGCTCTGGGGCAGGAGATCGGGGCTACAGGGTAGGAATGGGGAGTGCTCACAGTCAGGCAGGAGGGCTCTTCTGGGGCCATGGAAATGCTCTGAAACTAGATTTTGGAGAAGCCTGCACAGTTCTGTAAAGTTTACTAAAAATCACTGACTTACACTTAAAACCAATTCATTTTAATTCAATAGTGTTTTGTTTTGTTTTGTTTTTTAATGAAAGAAAAAGGAAGATGGCGTGCTTGGGGAAATTAGACGGCTGCCTGCACCTTATCTTGGAAACACTAAAAACAGCTTTAAGGGCTAAAAATTAGATGATATGCAAAAGAAAACAGTGTATGAAAAGGAAAAAACAGTATATGAAGTAAAATTAACTACTTTTAGAAGGGACATTCTGGAGATAATTTGATGTGATATAGACTAATAGATACTTGCTTTGAACTTGACCTTCACCTGGTTACAGTTTAGTGCAGATGAGTCAAACTGTGTGGGACAATAGGAAGGAACCCCCTCCACAGTCAATTCTGGAACTCTGATAAACAGATCGCCCCTAGAGTATGTATGCCCTTGTTTCCCTAATTATTTTAGTAAACTAACATAATTATGTCTTTAAATAATACAAAGAATTAGAAAAATTCATTCACAAATGGATTTTCTGGTTGATTTCAGATGAAATGAAATGTAACTAAACAATAGAATTCTAAATCCACAGAGCAAATGTACCGTCTGATAGCAGACAGGTGCACAGACCAAGACTCATCTTGTCAAATGCTCTTAAGCACATCAGTAAAAAGGATGATGTCAGTTGAAACTCTAGGCATTTACGTGGGCTTTGCCTGAAAGAAGAGGTAGTAACAATGATGAGAAATAATAAAGATGGGACATACAGAGTATATTTATATGACTAATGCTCGGTACTCAGTTTTAAGAAAGAAAAGCCCTTGGTTGTTACTTAAAACTGGTATTTATTTTTCTTTTTTAGTCCACTTTTAAACTTTCCTAGAAAAAGCTATCTTGGGAAAATAATCCTGTTTTTTAAAATTCATGTATAATTTTGAAAGGAGAAGGAAACTGGATTCCCCATGCAGCCATTCCCACCAATTTCATCTTTGTTGCGGTAGCTCAGCTGGGGGAGGGGGTGAAGGCAGTAGGAGTGGCAGGTCACAGGGAGGTGCTGGACAGTGGTGACGACAGACAAGAGCACACACTCAGCTTTCACTCTGTGCTTGGTGCCCTTCAGCCTTTCCCCTCCCATCACTCCTCCCTTGTCATTTCAGACTTTCTGATGCAGGAGGGGTCTAAGACGAGGGGTAGAGAAGAGAGTGTTTACAGTCATCCCTTTAAGGAATCTCTGGTGTGGTTCTGTTCTGCTTCTTCCCAAAAGTGCCAGCCTTCAGCCAGATAGATGACAAAGGGTTCTAAGCTGTCCTTTGTGTGTTTTAGAGACTAAACTCAGTCAAAATAAAATGCTAAACTGACTTTCCAGCACCTCACCCCCCACCCCCGCATCTTTTGGATTAGCCACCAAACCAACTGGATCACCCTTCCACTATAGTTTGACAACCAAGAGCTCTAAAACATCTGACTTAGAGCACATTATGTAAGAAAAGTACAAACAAAAATGAACACAAATCATAGGCATATTATTAGCATCATTAACATACTGTTAAAGTGAACACCTCCGTTCCATTCCGAATATCCCACAATTTGGCTGTTGTGTCCATACTTCCAGTAGCCACCAATGTGCTTTGAGGGTTAAATGCTAAACACACCTAAATTAAATAAAATGGAAGACATTTTAGGATGATAGAATTTCAAATTGGGAATTGTCTATGGGAAAGCCTCAAGATGCAATTACCTTAGCAGATTCAGTTTAATTCTTTGCACAAGTACACAATGAAATAACAAATATGAGTACCCTGCTATGGCCAGGTTGCTGTCCTGCTTCCCACGCCACACAGCGGAGGATGGTAGAGCACTGACTCCCCTCACCACCCCCAGACCCAGAAAAGCAACAACTAAAGCAAAGTCCGCCCCCTGTGAGCTTCCTACCTTCCAGCTGCCATCTTTCTTGTCGCTCCCAGTCATGCCGCCTCTCTTAACAAGAACATTGGCTACTGGCTCACAGTCTCAATGACAATCCTTACGTGGCCATCACGTTTACTCTCCAGACCCAAACCCCTGGGTTTCCTTCAGTAACCACTCCCATGGCCACTGCCCGAACCTTGACATCACCTTCTCTAGAAGATTCACCACCAATTCATCAATCTCTGATTACAATTCCCCTGTACTTCCAGCTTCCTCTTTCCTTCCCACTGCCTGCCACAGGATAGCGTGCATCTCACAGACACGCCTGCCTCTTCTGCTGGCCCATCACCCCGTTCTACTGACACACAAAAGCATCCTGCTGCCAGCATCCTCAATGCTCTTAGTTCCTATCCTTCAGACACACCCTCTATACAAAGTCCTAAAATTAACTTTGATCAACCCAGAATTTTATCCAATCATCTGCTCTCCCTGTCTGATCACATGGCTAAGAAAAGTGCACAAAACTGGTGTTGCTCATACATGCCTCTGTGCTCTCAGTACCGTCCACAGCACCCTTCCCCCAATTTAAGATGCTTCTGGCTCAATTCTCCCATTCCATACTCTTGCCCTAACTTCCTCACCTTTCTCAACAGACAACCTGAGGAAACTCACCTGTCAAATGGGAACTTCCTCACCTGGCCCTTACTGTCCTCCCCTTCAGTCTCAGAGGCAGAGACCCCTTCCCCACACTCCTCGGGAGATGCACTAACTCTGCCTTCCCTCTAGACTGGATCTTTCTCAGTGGGCTGTAAATATACTTGCGTTTCTCTCACTTTAAAACAAATCCTCCCTTGACTCTAGGGACCCTTTTTAACTTCCTTTTTCCCTTTACATCCACACTCCTTGGAGAAACAGTTTACCATCACTGGCTGCCCATCTTTCACTCTCAACTCCACTGAAACCACTGTGGCTACATGTCTACCCAGGAGGCTCTGTCAGTCGCTTCACTGAACTTCATGACCCTGCAGTGGTGACTCCTGGGTTCTCCACGGTTCTTTCTGCTTGCCAGCTTTGACAACTCTCTTATTTTCTTCTCCTTCTTCTTGTGTTTGTTTTTCTTTTAGTATCCACTGATGGTTTCTCTTCTTTATCTTCCTCCATAGAGTCTTTCCTCCATACACAACCTTTTCTTTTGGGTAATTTCAGTTGCTCATTGGTTTCTACTGCCACCCAAACGCCAGTGACTTAAGCTCTTTATGCCTAGTATTCTAATCTGCAAAATGGGGGCATACCTACCTCTTAGGGTTGCTATAGGGCACAAGTAAGCTAATAATCTGCTTATGTCAAGGGCAGAGGACAGTGCCGTCAGAGGGTATTATATAAGTTTTCGCTGGAGTATCCCCAATACCTTGCAAGGTACCTTGAACTTGAGTTCATCATCCAGCATGAGTTGATGGATGAATACACCAAGGGATTTTAGGATAACTATAGACACATTCAATTTCTAAGTGAGAAGCCTGTTTTTGTTCTTGTTTTCCCTAAGGTGGATATAAATTAATGGGCTAGAGGATCCTTTCCCGGCTTCAGGCCCCTTCCTTATCCCCCAGAAATATTTCCAAGCATGCTGCAGTCTGTTCCAAAGTTTCTCATTTCTAAGATCCAGGGCCAGACACGGGCCTCCAAACTAGGACACTGCTGGCATACTGGCTGTCACTGACTCTTCACAAAGACTGTCACCACCACAGCTTCCCTCTCTCCACCCCTAATAGGCTCCTATTTGCTTTTTCTGGTTCACAGCAGGTGTCTCTTTCTCTACTGAACATTGAGGTTAAAGGGCCATGACTCTGTTATCAATTCCCCTCTCCATCAAATGACAGTCATTAGCAAGTCCTTTTTACGTCTCTTTTCAACAAAAGGGACAGAGCTAGATTTCCTTACTGCCAACTATGGGAAGAAGCAGTTACATGTTTTTCCTGCTTTAGCATTTTTTTTCTTTGACCCTCAAAGTCCCCGTAATTTTTATGTCACTAGCGCATTGATGAAGTGGATGCAGCTCCTATTTGTGGAATCCCTTTGGTTTGGTCCACTTAATAGTAATTTAACTGTGTAACAAGTGAACTGAGTTAAATGTTAAAAACTGGTTCTACCTGATAAAGACGACACATGAAGGGTAGGGGTGTTCCCCATCAACAGGTCACAACATAACCCGAGAACTCTTTAAAGTCTAATAAAATTGTCCTTAGTTACATCTCTGATTAAAACAATATAAAGCACTTGATTAGGATCAGAAGCCCGTTTATTTTTAAGAGGTACCACTTGTTCTACAGGGTGCCAGTTATCTTACTAATTGTCTAAGATGTAACACAGAACTGACCGAGGGCAAGGGCTTTCCAATAGCACAAGCTATTTAGAGCATCAGACTATCCATGGAAATTTGAGTTATAAGGATATCCAGAGAACAATTAACCTAAATATCTCACATAACAATTAAAAGTTATTCTGAAAGCTATTTTAATAAATTCGTTGACCCTCATTAAGTCAGAATTTTAAAGATAGTTCAATGAAAAAGAAAAATTTTAAACTTGGATGTAATACTCACGTATTTATGTATCTACTTAATCACGCAGGATACAATTCTTTGACAGTATTTGCAAGATATAAAAATTGAAGTAGTTTTTAAAATATATCAGCACCACCATATAAGATATATGCAGAATAAAAACACTCAGATAGAATTTGAAAATTAGTTGTGAATGTAGAACTAAATGGAATTCTGCAAAGAAACAATAGAATAAAATATATAATATAAACATACTCACTATTTCTGCTGTATGGCCCCTAAAGGTATGGTAACATTTTCCTGTTTCCACACTCCAGAGTTTACAAGTCTTATCAAAGGACCCAGTGGCAATTTTGTCACTAAGATTTAAAAACAAAATGTAGATTATAAAAAAAAATTCAGCCACATTATATAATATATTGAACTAAGACAAAATATATTAATACAGGGATCTCCGTTTACTTAAAATCACTTTTTAAACTACAAGCAATCCTAGATTTATTTCAGTGGATAATACAATAAAGGTCTGATTTTTTTTTTTTTTTTTGAGACAGAGTCTCACTATGTTGCCCTCGTTAGAGTACTGTGGTATCACAGCTTACAGCATCCTCAAACTCTTGGGCTTAAGTGATTCTCTTGCCTCAGCCTCCCAAATAGCTGGGACTACCGGCACCTGCCACAGTGCCCAGCTATTTTTTGGTTGTAGTTGTCATTGTTGTTTGGCAGGCCCAGGCCGGATTCAAAACTTCCAGCTCCAGTGTATGTGGCTGGCACCCTAGCCACTGAGCTACAGGCACCAAAGCAGGTCTTATTTTTTAATAATATCAATTTGTGCATATAATTTTAATTTTTTTTAAGACAGAGTCTCACTGTGGTGCCCTGTGTAGAGTGCAGTGGCATCATCATAGCTCACAGCAACCTCAAACTCTTGGGCTTGAGCAATCCTCTTGCCTTGGGCTCCCAAGTAGATGGGACCACATGTGCCCACCACAACACCTGGCTAGTTTTTCTATTTTTAGTAGAGACAGAGTCTTGCTCTTGCTCAGGCTGGTCTCCAAATCCTGAGCTCAAACAATTCTCCACATTGGCATCCCAAATTGCTAGGATTACAGGCATGAGCAACCACACCCAGCCCCATATAATTTTAAATATTAAAGAGAACACCGAATATAAATGAAAAATCCAGTTAACCCTATCGCTAATAAGATTTTGAGAAGTTATAGACATTGAATGTCTTCTTAAGAAAATCATGCCCATATCACAGCAGTTGTAGGAGGGTTTGGAGGGGAGTCTGGGGTGGGGCTCCCAACAACACTGGAGAAGTGAGAATAGATCAGCCACTGTGGCCTTGGATCTTGGAACTAAAACCTTTTCTTTTGTCCCTAGCTCACATCTGTCCTTTACAGCATCAGAATAACATGTCCACTCAGTGAGGTAATTTACAGTAAAACCTCATTGTTCAGAAGTGTAAGATATCTTAAGAGCCAAAACATATATCCTGAAGCAGGTTGTAAGCGCCCGGCAGGGTTCAGAACCACTCCGCACAGACGCTGGCACCTGGCTTCCCTCCTTTGTTCCCAGGACACCCGCATTTCTGTGGTCTGATGCTAAAGGAAAGCAGAGAGGCCCCTTCTGTCAGTGCCCCGGGGCAGCCGCTCCTGGCAAACACCCGCCGCCCTTCCCAAGGCGTCCTTGCGTTCAAGGTTGGTTTGCCACCCCGAGTCTCTGAGCTGCCTTTCCCCTGTGTCATCAGTCCGGGCCTTTTCCTATCAGCTGCCCACATCTTTCAGCTTCTGCTGGAGACAAACTCAGAGCCCTGTGAGCTCTTCATCATTCCCTTATTCCAGCTTTTCATCTCCCCTGCCCTTCAAACATACTAGTCTTGAGTTGCTGTTGTTTCTTTACAGACTTCTGTTCTCTATATCCATATGCCACCACACCATAAAAAATATTGCTAATGTCGGTGTTTCTTAGAGTTACTTTGTTGAACCCACAGAGCTTATCCCTGCTGTAATATATAAAGATAAACAGTAAACTGGTTCAAGTTCTTTCTCTCCCTCCCGCCTTCATTTCTTCCCTCCCCTCATATCTCTCTCTCTCTCTCTCTCTCTCTCACACACACACACACACACACACACACTCCCTCTTGTTTTTGGTGGTTGTCTTGAGCTCACTTTGTTGAAACCCCAGTAACTGCATTAGTGCGATGAAAACCCACATGTGTAAATCATCAGACTAAGGTTACTAATCAGACAGGGTATTTTTCATTAGGGGCTCCGGGTAACAGAAAGGCCAAATTCCTCCCCTCTCCACCCATAAAAAACCTTATTCCCAGACTGATGCCCCCAAATATCCCATCTGTTAAATAAGACCATGAACCTGCTGACGGAGAGGATCCCCCTCCGGAACCCCTCAGCCGCGTTCTACTGCGTGGCCCGCCTGCAGGATTTTAAACTTGCCTTTGGCAATTCCCAAGGCAAAACAAGTCAAACTTGGCATGGAGGTATAGCCACCATTTTTCAAAGTCCTGGTGATGAAGTATGGGCGGTAGTACGGAAAATGAACAAAAGCAATTTAAATTCTCTGGATGAGTAAGAAGGGGTTAAAAGTGGAATATATGTTGTAATAAAAGTTAAAGTTTTAACTCAGATCAGAAAGGAAGAACAATAACCTGTCAAAGTTATCTGATTATGAATTATAAGTGTGCTCCTGCGTCACCACAGTATAAAAAGGTTATTTGCATGGGTGCAAAAGAAAATGGTTTGCCACGAGAGTATCAAGAGAAATTAAAAGCAATGGAGCCAAATAACTATAAAGGAAAGGTCTCAGAAGAAATAGAAGATATTATCAAAAAGAGGGAAACACAGCTCGGCACCTGTGGCTCAAGTGGCTAAGGTGCCAGCCACATACACCTAAGGTGGCGGGTTCGAATCCAACCCAGGCCCGCCAAAAAAACAAAATGACGCAGCAACCAAAAAATAGCCAGGCATTGTGGTGGGCACCTGTGGTCCCAGCTACTTGGGAGGCTGAGACAGGAGACTCGCTTGAGCCCAGGAGTTGGAGGTTGCTGTGAGCTGTGATGCCACAGCACTCTACCCAGGGGGAAAGCTTGAGGCTCTGTCTCAAAAAAAAAACAAACTCATTAGAACATAACAATTTAATAAGGATATTCTCTTTCTGTGCTAACATAAAATATTTTTAACATTCGAGACCAGGGATCTGGGATATGTCCGTGTTTCACCGATTTTCATCAGTTCTCTGAAGGGCTACCTCACTTGCATGATTCCTTGTTTTCAGACTATAAAAGGAAATTGGTTTAGGAGTTAGACAATAAAAAAGGGCACTATGAAACCCCGGAATACAAAAAAAAAAAAAAGACAGACTATGAAATGATACATTATTATATGATACAGAATATCCTTTAAATGGTATTGCAATGAAAGTTGGAATTATACTAGAAGTAAAATAGTGTCATTTATAATTTCAATAAAATCTCTCTCTTCCACAAGTTGGAATAATAAGGTATTATGAAAATTGTCATTATCTATAATGTAAAAATGCACAGATCAAAGTAAAAATTTCTATAATTTAATTGGGATATTTAATCATTTTAATGTACAAATTAAGTTTAATTGTGCCATCACAATTAACGTGTTTTGAAAGGGTATTACACTTTAAAAAGATACAATGGCACTAACAACTTTGATATAAAGGTTTTAAAAACTGTAGTATAAAATTTCTACTCTAAGTGCATCAAATCTTTATAAAACTCCTCTGTTCCTTCTGCCCCTATTCTCACCTCCAACCTCCGACCCCTTCTCTCTGCCAGAACAGTTCTTCTATTTAAAATAGCACTTCTGCTGATCCAGTTCTTTGTTCATTAAGGGCAACTCATCCTACAGACAGAGCTTAAACTCCACAGAATGCCCGACCTCACCCACTTGTGTTTCTCAGCACAAAATGTTCCCTAGAAAGATTGGCCCCGGAACGTATGGCATAAACCACAAATTCCCACCTTAAAACTGAGCTGCTGAGGCCCCTCGGCCAGCACCACCTCCTCTCCTCCCCACAGTCCATCCCCTTATGCTTTAATCTCACACGGACTTTAGAGACACTCTAACCAGGAGAAAATCACAATCATCTCTCTCTCTTAATTTTTAAACCATTCATTATTCTTTTCTAGTCATCATAGCACTATGGAAAATAAACCATATTTATTGAGCCAGCTTCATTAATGGAAAAAGTCCTTTAAAGTGGGCAATGATGAAAAAAACATCTGCTTATCTAAAAATGTTTACTCCAATTCAGTAGAACCTCTGTTGAGTTGACCACCCAAGGGACTGTAAGGAACTGGTGGATACGGAGGTGGTCAACATGAGGAGCTGGGCCTGCTGCACTAGTACGTAGACGAGGTGGATGTCCAGTCTGTGAAAATTAGGTCAGCGTAAGGAGGTGGCCAGCTCTGGAGATTCTGCTATATATGTAAATGTATGTTCCTTTGCCAATCTTCTCCCAGGAGGCCAAGGTCTTTTCTTTGACTATGAGTCAGCTAATTGGAGTTCATCATCTGTCTAACAGAAATCATACCAAAACTCTAAATTTCTAGTTTTCTCAAAGATGGAATGAGAACTTAAAGAACTTAAAAATGCTCACAGAACAATGTTAGTAAGAATTTGTTCTTTTTTTCAGTTTTGGCTGGGGCCAGACTCGAACCCGCCACTCCTGGTATATGGGGCCGGGACTTTACTCCTTGAGCCACAAGTGCCGCCCCTCAGTGACAATTTTTGGGATGTTTTTATATTATGTTTCTAACTTAACAATGACCTCATCTACACCTACATTTTGTAACAATTTTTTCAAAGATTTTCCTCACCTATGTTTTCATAGAAAACCACATCTTTATTTTCACACTCTATTTCATTAATTTATGTGATATTTAAGTAAGTTACACAATTACACTGGAAAGCACAGGCAACATAAGCAGGCTTGTGGACAAACACAGCTAAATCTTGACGAGCTCAGACACTGTCCCGTGGGAAGAGAAGGCTCGTGTCAGTGGGTAGCCTGGTAGCTGCAAACGTTCAGAATGCCGTGGGGCTCAGCAGTATGTCGTGGGAAAAGGTAGAGAATAAAGGTTAATATACTGAGCCAGTTAACTAGAGGTTGGCTCTACGATGCTTCCATTGTAGTTGCTCCTGTAATTTAGCATGTCACCATGTCACCGCCCTTTTTTCCAACCTGGCAAGACCATAAAGTGATGTCATAAACCAAGTTATGAAGCAGGTGTCTCATTACCCATGACGCACCTCAGCAGGAACTGCCTACGCGTCACAGTCAAGTCTTTACCAGTGTGATCCGGGAAAGTACCTGAACTTTGTCTTCTGTAGGAGGACAGTTGGCAATACCCGTCTCAAATGCTCTTGTGAGCATGGAGGAGCTATTTAAAAGGTTTCCAAAGCACATACCCACAACTCAAAAATTTTTAATATTCTGCCCTCTTCCCTTCCTCTGCCAATAGACAGAGGGGCGAGTAAATGAATTAATGAAGAGACAAGCGAGTGGATGGACAAACCCGTAAGGATTGTTGAAGGCTATGGCGTACACCACGTTCCTGTGGCCCTCCAGGGTGTGCAGCTCCTCCCCAGATGCCGTGTCCCACAGCTTGCAGGTCCGGTCGTAGCTCCCTGTGATGAAGCTAACAAGGGCAGGTAAGTGTGGGCAGGGGGAACGGCAGGGTGAGTAAAGGTTTCGCTTTTTACCTGCAGGATAACAACTCCATTTACAATGGAAATCATGTACACGGGACAGTTAAATTGAGAACAATATCTACATCCTTGAACGCAGAAACTTAAATCAATTTTACCTCAAACCCAAAAAGGAGCCACCAAATACTGAGTCATCTTTCTAACAATGGTTTCCCTCCTATCATATACATAATCATGTCCTTAAATAATATGTATACTAATCCGCCATGTTTTCCGAAACTCATTATCTCTCTGTGATAGCATCCTTCTCCCGCAGTTACTAAGACCATAAAATCTTGGCATCAACCCTGCCTCCTCTTCCTCTCCCACCCCACACACAGTCAGAAAATTCTGTTAGTGAAATCTCAAAACTCATCCCTCACATGGCCACTTCTCGCCAGCTCCATCGACTCCATCTCTCATCTAAACAAATGGAACCAACCTTCTTCTCTTGGCTTATGCATGGTCCTTAAAAATCGATTTTCCTCTCATAAACTGGGGCTATTTTTTAAATCTTCATTAAGTGGTTCCCAAGCAATACAGAGGGAAATTGAAATTTCTGCTTATGGTCTGTAAGCCCAGCAGCCTCTAGGACCCTCGGCCCCTCCCCAGAGCACACCCTCATCAACTGTGTTGGGATCCTTGCCCGTCTCTGAAGGACCAGAGTGTTCTTTTCACCCATGCCAGTGCTTCTGCCATCTGCTCTACACCAACTTCCCTGGACCTAGGGCCACGACTGGCACGCCAGTAAGCATTCGATAAATATATTCTGTTTAAGAAATAAATTAACATGACTATGCCACAGCATGAAGAGTTGATACACTGACATCTAATATTCTAATTGTGGGTCACTGTGAAGGTTGTGAGACGTACTATGTTATGGTTGGTTATTTCCTTTCCAAGAAACGCAGTCAGCAGTGTGCTTTCTGATTCACCCACGCCAAGCGTCAACTCGCTCAGCTTATCGGTGTTGCTGGGAGGGCTTCATTTATTCCTGTCTGTGCAGATCTTACATTTCTTGGTTTTGGCGTATCTCTAAATTTTTGTAATGGCCCACATAATGTGAAATAATAGCATCTTAGTCATTCCTTAAATATTCAATTAGAAAAAAGACTTTGTTTTTAAGTCATAAATAATAACATTGCTGCAAAAGATATTTCCCCAACACAGGAAAAAAGTACACAAAATTGGAAAGCCAATCTGAATATCCAGTGGTAACGATAAAAGGTGAAAAGAAATCGTTACCAAAACCCAACAGGAAGGTTGGCAAGCCGGAGCTGTCTGTGATTCTCTCTAGACATTCCCTTCTAGCTTCTTTTCCCTTCCTCTACCTTTGGATAAAGTTGGACCGTTTGTAACTATACATACATCCACTATGGACATTGTGTGGGTTGGATTGTGCCCCCTAAAAATGCCTCTGTTGAAGTCCTAACCCCAGTACCCTAGAATGTGACTTTATTTTGAAACAGAGTCATTGCAGATGTAATTAGTTAAGACAAGGTCACACCACAGCAGGGTGGGCCCCTACCCAACACATTGTTTTAAGAACAGGGAATATGGACACAAACACACACGCGTGGAGAAAATCTCGTGAAAATGAAGGCAAAGGTCTGAGTGATGCTTCCACACACGAAAGATTGCCAGAAAACAGCCAGAAGCTAGGACAGAACAGATTCTTCCAAGCAGCCCTCAGAAGGAGCCAGCCCTGCTGCCGTCACCCTGAAAATCACTGAGCTAGATGGAAAACTCCAGCTCACCCTAACCAATCAAGGCCGAGGAGAGCTGACCCCACCCGACCCATTCCTGAGTCAAGTTATTCAGCAGCTATCATGTTTGCAGAGATTCCAACACACCTCCCATTTGCAATGGCACAAATATTATATAGAAAACTCAGAATAGTGGGAGAAAGGGCTTAGGTATTTCTCCTCAATACTCAATAGAGTACTGAAATCAGAGAAATGAACACATTACATGCTTAACTAACTGGAATCTTTGACAAATAAACACTTAAAAGTTTTTTAACCCTTGATTGCTAAGGATTAGAAATAAATAGAGAACCTTACCATGAGCCCGATTTGTTAAGTGCAACATTAGTCAGTGGCAATATATGTGCCCTGAGAACCTTCAATAAGAGAAAACACCACTGATCAGACTCAAAGCATATTAAGTTTAATTCATTCATTTTAATTTCAAATCAAAGACACTCAATAGTGCCTTAATTATATGTCATAAATAGATAATATATAATACCCAAGAAAATGTCAAAAATACATCCTACCTGCTACTACTAAGGCAAATAATACAATTGGTACTTACGGGTAATTACAAACACATAATTTGCTCTGTGTTTTCATGAATTTAAGGTAAATTATGGCTATTAAATAAGATACTAAATAGCACTAATTTGTAACATTTTATTTTCCATATTTTTTATAGTTTCATAGGCATGCATGAATAGTATATTCAGTAAATATACTGAACATGTTTAAAACATGGATTTTACAACGTATCAACTCGTTGAATCCTGGAGTTCCATCAGAGTCAGGATATGTCTTATTTTGTTACCATCCCTACAATGTCTAGCAGATAGTGGCTGCTTACTGAATATTTATTGAACAAATATATATACATATGGGATAACTAGAGTTATCGGCTAGGTGGGAACAGCCTAGTTGAGTCTGCTGCCAGAGCGTAGCTGTTAATAACTTTCACTATGGAAAATGTTCCTCTGATGGATAAAGTAACAGATCACGGGAGCCGCAGGCCTCATATTTGAAGTTAAACAGCGCCATCTTCTGGAGAAAGGGATATTACATGCACACAACCTCATCTAGAAGCTTGAATGAATGGATGACTGTCAGAGTGCCTGGATATTTTATATCAGACAGAATGCGTGATTATGTAGATATTAATATTATATTTTATCAAAATAACTATATTAAAATCACAAAATATAAAATCAGCACAATATGAATCAATTCTGGAATAAACCATTAAATATGTTTAAATGATAAAATATAAAAGCTTGTTCTGAAATGCTAAATGACATTTAGCATAGTTTTAATTTAATCAGCAAAAAATGGTACAGAAAAACAAATGAGTTTAAACCACATTAAGATTTCATAATTCATGCAAATAAATGCTTTACTGTGGGATATTTTAAATCACATGAAAGCAGACTATATGGAATGTTTGTATACTTTAAAAGACAACTTCTTAATATTACTTTAACTTAATTTAATCTTAATTTTTTAATAACATCAAACAATCTTAATAGAAAATGATAATCCCTTAAATTTGTCATTTATTTCTCAAGCAATAAATGTTTCTAACGTCACTCATTCATTTAACAATTATTGACACTTACTCTTAGCAAATACCTGATAGGCACTGAAATAAATTGCTCATAAACTTTTTTGTGTAAAATATACTTTGGGGAAAAGAAAATTATTTTTAGAGAAAGTCATTAATAAAAATCAATTATTTCACTGAAATTATACTATCTAGTATTTTAAAAATATGCATTACCTTAAAAAGATAAAATTTGTGGTTGCCATGCTGGCCAAGTTTCTCTTGTAATCTGTGTATTAAAAATTTGACTTGCTCTGTCCGTGAAGCTGTGATCAGAGGTTCTGCTTTGCGGATTTCTTCAACTAAAGCATTGACATCAGTACTGAAATTAACCAAAAAATATTACTTTTATTTCACATCAAAAATAGCATATGTGCTTATCACATGAAGAATCGCACTCCTTTATAAAGCACAATATTTATAAAATGTCAAAAACACCACCATCTTTCCTTAGGTGCCTGAGAGAAAGGTCCAGTAGACAGCATGGGGGCACGGAACTAGGGAGCTTCCGTTTCCTGTAACTATACTGACTTGTGGAAGGTATGCGGAGATTCTCATGTGCTCGCCCAGTACTGTGGTCCGACTCATTGCAACTCCACCAAAAGTCAGGGTGAAACTTTATCAGCCATGTAACAGTGTGAGAAGGCGAGGCCTTCCAGAGGTAACCAAGTCATGTGAGTGAAGCCTAATGAATGGGATTAGGTGCCTTTCAAAAAGGGCTTGACGCAGGGCGTTTGTCCTTTCTGCGCTTCCACCTCTGGCCATGTGGGGACACTGTGTTCCTCCCTGACACAGAACACAGATCAAGGCTGCACCCAGGAGCGGAAAGCAGCCCTCACCAGAAAACAGAACCTGCTGGCACCTTGATCTCTGACTTGATAGCCTCCAGGCCTGTGAGAAATACATTTCTATTCTTTATGAATCACCCGTTCTTGATAATTTTGTTACAGCAGCACAAAAAGAACTAAGACCCCTAGGAAAGCCAAGGGCACACATCCTGATTCTAACTCCATCTTTTTCTTTGCCTCTTTCCTGTTTCGTGTAAGTGACTGTTGGAGGTGCCTGGTCCTAACTTTTCACTTTCATATGTTCTCTTCTTTAATCCTGTAACAACCTGCTAATGTAATGTTCTTAGAATAATTATATTGGAGGAGAAGAAACCGAAGGTCTGAAAGGTAAGGTTTGAAATATTTTTAAGGAAACAGAACATGCCTAATCATAAAGAATGATAAAAATTATTACTATTTCTTAGGAATACTGATATGATTTCCCTAAGAAAAGAAATGCTCTGAGAAAAATGTACAGATAGATCAAATGTTCCCCAGTACGCAAATAATCCACAGAAACTCTGGTACATTTTGCAGGGCCAGAGTAATATTTGTTCAAGAAAAGCATTATGTATATATATCACCAGACATGCAAAATAGAGCCATTTTTGTCGCAAACGTGCCTGAATGGGTGCAGACGTACAGTGAGACAAGAGTAACGAGTCTGAATGTTCAGTAGCACAGTAGGCTGACTACAGGTAAAAACAAAATGTTGCATTTTCCAAAATAGCTAGACGATAAGATCTGGAATATTCCTTACACAAAGAAATTACAAATGTTTGGGGTAATGGAGATCCTAAGTACCCTCACTTGATCATTTCACATTCTATGCACAAACAAAATATCATATATATCCCATAAATAGGTACAAATATTATGTGCCAATAATTTTTCTTAATTTAAAAGAAAAAGAGAGAACTCACTCCCAGCTACAGAGCAGAGAAGCTTTGCTGGCTGACAGCCTCCAGCTGCAGGTCTGAGGCCTCACTTCAGCACAGAGGCCAGGACAGGCTCTTCCCCAGGCCCCCAGCCCATCGCTGAGGAGCAGGAGGCCAGGAGCCCAGCTGCCTCTGCCCCCAAGGGATGCTGCTCACTGGCACACTTGCTCCAGAGTTCCCCTTCAGATTGCCAGAGATTCTGCCATCCCCTGGCATTACTGTCCTTTTTTTTTGAGACGGAGCCTCAAGCTATACCCCCTGGGTAGAGTGCCATGGCATCACGCTCACAGCAACCTCCAACTCCTGGCCTCAAGCGAGTCTCCTGTCTCAGCCTCCCAAGTAGCTGGGACTACAGGCGCCCGCCACAACGCCTGGCCATTTTTTGAGCCACAGGTGCCAAGCTGGCATTACTGTCTTCACATGGGTCCTCCTGCCTGATCCTGTTTCCCACCCTGGACTATCAAAAGGGTTGCTGCCCAATTAACATTTTGCCCACCCACCTCTGTCTCAGCATCTGCTTCTCAGAAATGCGACCCCTGATAAATATCCCTCTTCACCTCAAGAAAAAATATTCCCTGAGCTCCAGTCTTGTGCCAGGCACTGAGGTGGGAGTCCACTCTTTCCATTATCATATATTGACTGGCTACTATTGGTTAGATGCTGGAGTTTAAATGATACTGTCTTAGCTCTCAAGAAATATAATCCACTAGAGTAAGAGTAAATATTTTGAATGGAAATGAATCAGAAACTGTTTACAAACATGACTTGGATAAACTCTAAGATATTCAAATGTCAAAAGAATTATACTTTCATAAGAATTAAAAGCATAAAATTACTTCTTGGAAAAGTTTTGAACAACTGATATGAAAACCTATTTCCTGGCTCGGCGCCTGTGGCTCAAGCGGCTAAGGCTCCAGCCACATACACCTAAGGTGGCGGGTTTGAATCCCCAGCCTGGGCTCGCCAAACAACAATAATAGCTGCAACCAAAAAATAGCCAGGCATTGTGGTGGGCGCCTGTGGTCCCAGCTACTTGGGAGGCTGAGACAGGAGACTCGCTTGAGCCCAGGAGTTGGAGGTTGCTGTGAGCAGTGAAGCCATGGCATTCTACCCAGGGGGACAGCTTGAGGCTCTGTCTCAAAAAAAAAAAAAAGAAAAGAAAACCTATTTCCTACCAAGATCCAAACTAACCAGGTAACTAATGCAGACACCCTGGCCCTGTAATATTCTCATTGCCATTTTCTCATCCTGTAACTCAGTGTGTTGTCAATGAATCATGTGTTTTTATAAGCACAATACTTCCGAGTTTGTATGTAGAATCACATACTTTTTTTTTGAGACATTTATTTACTTTCCCACATCCCCAAACTGTCATAGTTATGAGTAGATACAGCTTACATCCCCTCCAGGAAACACAGCACTATCGAGGGACTTCTTACAGAGAACTTCAAAGTGCTAAGACTGGATCTACGGACCCATAGGCCCTTTTGAAATGACTTAGGGACCCATGTTTGTTATGTGTAAAACCCGTGTTTCTGCTGAATACCCGGCTGGAAGTTATTCTCTTAGACAGAAGTTTATCTGTACCACCTGGGTAATGTTTTATGTTGTACAAGTTGTAGCACCTGGGTTACAATTAGTGTCTTCCGAGCCTCTTCCTATAATGGATCCAAGAGCTCCACCTGCGGGCAGAGCACTCACATCATTGCTGACTAAATACGTGAACATCCATCAAAGAAACTTTCTGCACATTCGCAGAGCTGCACAAATCAGTAACATGTTTCATTTACAAAACTAACAAGTTTGGTTTGATCCTAAGCCTCGTCTCCCTTGAAAGTAGATTGAACAAGGACTGTGGTAGATACAGTTCCGGGACACGATTTGTGCCACAGTTTCTTCTTTGATTAAAAAAAAAAAAAAAACCTATTGACCTATTGAGTAACTTGCACTAGGCACCTAGACTAAAACCTGGACCCTACCTAGACCATCATCCTCTGAGCCATGCCCTGTATTCCCCCTAAGACAAGTGTCCCCCTAAAATGCCAAGACTCTAAAGTGGAAGCAGCTTCTGGATTAGGAGATCCTTCTCACCAGCTGTGGTGCCGTTTGGGCTTGTTTTAAAACTACAGAGCAACCCTTTTGTAACCTACAACCTATCAGAGGGCTCCTTTGCCAACAGTCACAGGCCACAGTCTAAAACACCATATTTTCTTTCTTTCTTTTTTTTTTTTTTTTTTTTGGCCGAGGCTGGGTTTGAACCCACCACCTCCAGCATATGGGGCCAGCACCCTAATCCATTGAGCCACAGGTGCCACCCCTCGTTCTATTTTTTGTTTACATTCATGCATTGAGAATATCTCACTTTATCTGAAGTCCACCTCCCACAAATATAATCACTACTCTGACTCAGTCTCTGGGATGTTTGCGTAAGATTTCCTAAAGAGAATGAACTCCCGGCATTATGAGCTCATGAGGGACTTCCTCCGGGCTCACACCAACCTTCAGAGATAGATGTTACGTTTCCCATGTCTGCCATGACAAGGAAGGAGGAGAGACATATGCAGTCAACCCTCTGAAATGTTTATTTACTAAGAAAATAACAGGCTTTGGGGCAGTGCCTGTGGCTCAAAGGAGTAGGGCGCTGGGCCCATATGCCGGAGGTGGTGGGTTCAGACCCAGCCCTGGCCAAACACTGCAAAAAAAAAAAAAAAAGAAAATAACAGGCTTTGTAATATTCTTAAAACTCAAATAACGACAGAGTTAACTCAATTTGTTCTCAAAAATGTTAAGGTCATCAAAATTAAGGAAAGTCTGAGAAATGATGACAGCGGAAAGGAGCCGAAGAAAAGAGAAAACGTGACAGCAACTGTCTCGTGGGATCCTGGGTTAGACGAGAACTAGAGATAACCAAGGAAAACTGAATAGAGTGTGGACTTCAGCGAATAATTCCGTATGAGCATCTGCCATGACGAATGTGCCATATTACCCCGAGATATCTTTGACAAGAGGGGAGACTGGGCGTGAGGCATGTGGGAACTCCACCTTCACAATTTTTCTAAAACTGTTCTAAACTAAAAGGTTTATTTTGTTTAAGAAAAAAAGACCTTTTTGAAAGAAATAAAACAGCAAAATGGTCAAGTACAGCTCAGTGAAATAAACAGAAAATAATACACCACAGAAGAAAAGCTTTTCAGAAATACTGTATTATCTGTAGTTCATGCAGCTTATCCCTCATCACTCTGTGCCAAGGTTTTCCAACAAAAAAAATTGCATCTGAAATACTGGTTGCATGATATAGCAAACTTACCTGGGCTCAAGATCAAGTAAATCTATGGATTTGGTCTTCAATTCTCCGCTTTTTTCATATTCCAACATAATTCCTATTAAAAAAAAAAAAAAGAACATGTTCTAAAACACTTATCATGACTCCCTATGCCAAAAGTTAATCTGCTTTGCCGTGATTTTTTAAATATTTATTTTTGTTTATTTAAAATAACTTCGTATTTAGGGGGGTGCCTGTGGCTCAAAGGAGTAGGGCGCTGGCCCCATATGCCAGAGGTGGTGGGTTCAAACCCAGCCCCAGCCAAAAAATAAAAATAAAAATAAAAATATTTAAAAAAAAAAAACCTGAACCTTAAAAAAAAAAGTGTTAAAAAAAGTAACTTTGTATTTTAAAAATGTTAGATATTTTTTTTAAATTTTTGAAATCTTTAAACTTTTGCCAAAACATATGCAGTGATGCCTGCTTTCAAAACAAGACTGTGGTAATTCCCTTTTGTCTGGTCCTTCCCTCTAAAGACAACTAAATGCTCTTGGAATTGCTCAACAGACGACGATAGTGGAGAGTTGGTAGAAGAAGATGACCTGGCCAGCGGCAGCAGAGCGTGAAGAACGACGTGAGGGTGAGACCCCTGGACTTTCTTTCTGTCCCTTACACACCTCCAGACTGGAGCCTGGGGAACCTGAGTCTGAAAGCACGAAACACGCAGCCTAAAGATGTCACAAAAATGCTTTCATAGTCGTTTAGAAATTCACTTGAAACAAATGAAAAAAGTGGAAAAATCTCAGAAAATAAAGTTATTAAAATAAACCAAATGGAAATCATAGAACTGAAAAATATCATCATCTAAATCAAATACAAATCATTGTTAAATGAGTTCAATAGCAAGGATGACAGGGGGCAGAACCAGTGAACTTGGAGACAGACCGATAGACTAGACCTGAACACCACAGAGATAAGTAACTGGGAAAAAAAACAAAGACCCTGAGCAGAACCTCTGTGTCTTCGCTTGTACTAACTCTGTGGGATGGGGATGAGTAGATCCCAAGGATTTTGGCCTCAGGATCAACTTACCCGCTCACAAAATGTACTGAGTACATTGAAAAGCTTTTTGTTTTTATAATATTTTATTTATATTTTCCATATGAAAAACTAAAATTGAGGCATTTTTAAGATATTAAGTTATTTTAAAATAACATTCATGTTGACATAAATAGTATAGTTTTACAAAAATAATCGTATTTAGTCCTTCACAAAAGTAAGAAGAGTAGCACCGCATAGCACGACTCTTTAATATCTGGCTGAATCAAGGAGAGCTGGACTCTCATCTCTGTGTCTTCAGTCAATCTGCTCTGATATGTTGTTTCCAATAATGTACAAGAAAAAAAGATGGTCATACACAGACACACAGTTGGAAAAGAAAGGAGTATTTTAACTGCCTGTTGGGATAATTATAAATATTCTTTTTATATTCCATTAAAATTCAGTAAATGATCATTTCTCACACTATAGAATCCGAAGCCCTATCAGTGGACATTTCCAAACACTGATAGGTTAAAATCCGCTGCCCGGTCTTGTCCTGCCCATGACTCTTTTCATCCACGCATGATCAATACAAGATCTTGCACTGGACATTTGAAAAGCGCAGGTCGATGGAGTTACGCAATATTTTCTAAATGTCGACAAATTCCATCACACAGTATGGAAACCCTGATGCTATCACTGCCAGGATCTGTCAGAAGACAATCCTTACTGCTGGTCAGCTGTTGGGTTTGTGTGGTAAAATAAGTTTTCTGAAATTGTAAGTTTTGCTTGGAAGCTCAAATTTCTCACTGTCAAGAAATGCTGACAGTTTTTCTTGAAAGTTTCAGACCTGGTTTGTTCATTTTCAAAAAAATGTCTTGCAAATGTACACATTTGAAAACCATGTTGGTTTCTCAGTCTTTCAAGTAAAATTGTTCTTCCACAAGAAAAGAAACGGTTAATTCATTTCACAACTCAGGCAAACACGCAGATTTTCCTTCCCTAAGACAACTATTAGACTTAAACGTGTGTAAAAGTTTATGAGTACTTTCTATTCTATCACACGGAATACTTTGAAGTACATGTACCCGTCTGTTGATTTTTCACTATGTTAATTTTCACTGCTGTGTCAAGGGCATTTTTTAGTGAAACTGGGTTGTTGGGGTTGTTTCTATCCTATGAATGTGCGACAGTGATGAACAGAATGAGGACTGTTAGAGTTTGATGTGAGTAAAGCACCAACCGTCTCCCCTTCGTTGCTTCTGTAACCTTAGTGACAGTGTCAGCACAGAGAAAAAAGCAAATAACATCATATTGTTATTGAGGAATTAAAATTTAACCAAGAGGCCCCTGCTGAAAGCTTGAGTGTTCCCAGGGGTACCCTACACTTTTGAGAATCACTGATTCAAAATCAATGATAAATGAACACATCAAAACAAAGTTCCCAACTTTATCAGTAATAAAAACCACAAAATATAATAGATGGAATTTTTCTCTATTAGATTAGCAAAGTTTACGAAGACTCATTCTATTCAACATTAGCAGTCTTGAAGAAACAGGCATTTCACGTTGCTCCTTCCACAAGACTGACGCGGTCATGACAATCTTTGTGTTTTATTGTGTAAAGTCCCTAGTTCTTTCTCCCTAGAGAAAAAACTAAATAAAACCAAGTAAACTACTAAACTAGCTAACACTCTGAGCACGTTAAAGGTTTCTATTGATTGAATATGACCTAGGTAAAGAATACTGACATCATTTGATGCAAACTCTTTTAATATGGGCCTCCCCCTTTCAAGGGGCCATCTCAATTTCAGAAGGATAAAGGATCATCTTAGATATTCTTTGTTTTTTCATGATTTGGGTATGAGTCAATATTTTACAACCCAAAAGTAAGAGAAAAATAAGAAAATGAAGAAAAATGGGGCAGCGCCTGCAGCTCAGTGGGTAGGACACCAGCCCCATATACCAAGGGTGGCAGGTTCAAACCTGGCCCCTGCCAAACTGCAACAAAAGCTGGGCATTGTGGTGGGCACCTGTAGTCCCAGCTACTCGGGAGGCTGAGGCAGAAGAATAGCCTAAGCCCAGGAGTTGGAGGTTGCTGTGAGCTGTGATGCCACAGCACTCTACTGAGGGCAATAAAGTTAGACTGTCTCAAAAAAAAAAAGAAAATGGAGAAAAATGATGAGCATTGTAGGAATATAAACCCTTGAAGATCAAGGTCCCTATAAGATGATTTAAAAATTCAAATAAGATACCTACTTTAAAATACGCAACATCTATATCAAGGCAAAGTGTCATTACCATCAAGAATTGTTTCTTTCCTGAGCTATAATTTTAATTTTTTCACATTACATATAAGAATATTCAAAGGTACTATTTATTATTGAGGAAATTAATATTTGAAGAAATAAATTATGGATATAATTAATAAGCAATATAATAATAATTTGTAACTGAGTTTTAGGTTAGAAAAAATTAGCACTTGACAGCCACACAGCACAACCTAATATCCAAAGACAAGGCATTTTTTAATTTTAGCAAACAAATTAACAAAAGTCTGCTTTCTCTATTCACCATGATTTTGTTCCAAATAAATTTTTTAAATGCTCAAAGTCTGTAATACAAGTTCTAAAAACTAGTTGGGATGCCATACAAATTGACCCAGAGAATAAAGTGTAAAATCTGAAACATGTACCTCTAACTTCTTCACTGGGACAAAACATCAAGGCAGTATGTTCCTCTTTCCCCTGGTGACTGAGCTCTGACATGAGCAAAAGGCTTTGATACGTGATATGAAGAACAGAAACAGAAAACAGACAAAGATGCTGCCAGAATATATTATTTCCCATAGTGTCTATTTTCTTAGAGACAGGGTCTCACTCTGTTGCCCGGGCTGCTAGAGCAGTGGTTCTTAACCTTCCTAATGCTTCAAACCTTTAATACAGTCCAAAGGGATCGTGATCCACAGGTTGAGAACGGCTGCACTAGAGCAATTACAGCTCATTGCAGCCTTGAACTCTTGGGCTCAAGGAATCCTTCTGCCTCAGCCTCCCAAATAGCTGGGGCTACAGGCATGTGCCAAGACACCTGATATTCTTTTGTATTATTTTTTGTAGAGATAAGGTCTGTCTATGTCACCCAGGCTAGTCTCAAACTCCAAACCTCAAGCAATCCTGCACTTGAGCCTCTCAAAGCAGTGAGATTACAGCCCCCACATGGTATTTAACAGTCTTGATCTTCTATTATGTAATAAATATTAATTTCTGAAACACTTAGGTGAGAAGTCTCTATTCTCAAAATTATTTACTATATTAAAAAGGTACGCTTCAAATGAGACCAGAACTCTACTCAGGTCATATTTGGTCAACAGAAACCTTCAAAGTGCTCAGAATATTAACCAGTTTAATTGATGTTTATTTAGTTTCTTCCCCTCATCAAAGAACTGAGGCCAGAACACAATAAATACAAGACCAAAGCTGTCATCACTGAGTCAGCTGAGAAGCACAAGTCAACACCTGTCCTGCACAAGCACAGAGCTTGTGAATTAAGCGACATAACCAAGATAAAGAGGGACGGTCCCATGGTTGGTTCGCCACGTCACTACCATGTACATTTAGTCCTCAGGAATTTATGTGCAGAGAGGGATAATTCAGTGGATGCCAACAAGATAACGCTCCTGACCTATGCTTTATTCTAAAGGAAGTGGGAGGGCTGGAATTAGAGGACTAGGAAGCCAAACAAAACTGCTCTGTGTGCTGAAGGGATAAAGGTAACACAGAAAAGATTCAGGGGTGAGTGATTTTCTCCTATTTGATAATGTTACTGAAACACCTACCTGCTGCAGCAGGACCTTGGAAACCTGCATATAATATGGCTCACCAAAGATTGGAACTCAGAAATTAAATGTTTCAGCACGCTAAGCCATGTGGCCTCATTAAAAGATAATAATTTAAGCAATAGTGGCAAACACAAGTTTAAAGATTTACTTGAATCTAAAATTGCTATCTGAACACTGGACTCTAGAGCTGGAGAGAACATCAAAGATCCCTTCTCTGGCCCTTTCCCAGGATCTCGGGAGGAGTGGAAAGCCTTCTTTTCAGCACACATCCATCATCTCATTCAGCTCATCTAGTCAACAAACTTATCAGTGCCTGTTTTATGCATCATCCTCTAGATACAGTAGCAAACAAAATAAACCAAGTCTCCACCTTCACAGAGCTTTTTGTTTCTAGTGGGGAAGACTAAGCAAGATAAATGAGTAAAATTATGCTCTGTTGAGTTGAGACGGTGCTGAGGAGAAACACATCAGGGAACGGGACTGTGAAATATCTTGGGACAAACATGGAAGTTCTAGAAAAGGCCAGCTAAGGTTTTACTTCACACATGTTTGAGGAAAGCGTTTTTTAAAATGTTGGGGTATGAGCTATGCAAATGTCCCAGGGAAGATTATTCCAGGCAGAAAAACCACCAACGGCAGAGACCCTGAACGGGGACACACACTTGTCATGTCAAAGACACTAACAAAAATGGAAAAGCAAGTATCCAACGTTCTCTATGCTAACATGAAACCAGTCTATGAACAACTGCATTCAAGCAGGGAGGGAGGGGAGCAGGGAGCACGGGGAGGGGAGGCGGGGAGGGGTGTGGTGTGCCCTCACCTAAGGGGGACAACATAGGGGTGTGCAGCACACCTCGTGGGTGAAGGGCTCAGCTACAACTCCAACTTTACCTAACAAACGTAAACAATGTAACCTAATCGTTTGTACCCTTTCAAATTTATTTGAAAAAAATTTTCAAAAAGGAAGGAAAAAAAAGAAAGAAAGAAGAGTAATGTTGCAGGCAGAGGAAGTGGGAGGTCGTAAGGTCCCAGAGGCAAGGCGGCAAGGAGATTCTGCAGGGCCCTTGGGGTCAGGACACCTTTACTTTAAGTGAGGTGAAAAGCCATGGGAGGGTCTGATGTACGTTCTAACAGTCATTCTGCAGCTGTACAGGCGGAAGTGGGGCGTGGAGGGAAGGGAACATTAGCCCTAAAAGGAACGATAGTGTCCAAGTGGGAAGAAGTTGTTGAATTCTGTCTGTATTTTGAAGGTGGGGCTGAGAGGATGTGTTATTGGACAGATGTGGAGTGTAGGAAGAGGAGCCAGGGATGAACTCCAAATTTGGGGGTGAGCAAGTGGAGAGACGAAGCTGCAATTCACTGAGACGGGGAAGACCACGGGAGACCCCCATCTAATGTGTACACAAGGCAAGGACTATGGCTTGGCCTTAGATTTAGCAACATGGAGATCGATCATCGGGGATCTTGAAGAGGGTCGGTTCCATGAGCAGTGAGGAGGAGAACATGATAGGAATGAGGTCAAGAGAGGAACTGAAGGAAATACTCCTTTGAGGAGGTTTATTTACTCTGAAGGCAAAGAACTGCATGAGATAGCAGCCAGAAGGGGTCAGGAGACCTGAGAGGTGTTGCTCTTGTCACCCTCCAACCCATGGCTTGACAGGTCAAAACACATTACTCAAGGTAAAAAAGAAAAAAAAAATGCGTGGTGAGAGCCAGTCATTCTGATCCCAGAGTCAGCTTCTGCACCTCGACTCTACACCAGAGAGATGAAGAGCAGACCTTCATTTATCCTGCCCCTTTGGGGACAAGCACCGGCTAAGGGTAAGTTTAGCCAAAAGAAAACTCGGAAATACTTAAAGGGAATAGGCTATTAGTCTCAATTTAAAACTTCCTACATACTATATACCTGTATATAATTTCTATTTCCTAAATACTTTCATATCTATAGTCCTTTCGGGTTATTTTAACCGGAATTCAATAAGAGAGAAAATGAATGCTTTTTGACAATATTAACTTCACACTGGAGGAAGTTGCTCTCCAGCCCCAGCCCTGCAGGGAGGCAGAAGCATTGTCTCTGCCTTTGAGTTCTTATTCACAACTCCCAGGCTGTGTTCATCTATTCACACATACACTCAACAAACACAC